TTAGTAGGGATTGCATTAAAATTGTATATTGCTTTGGGTAGTATGGACATTTTAAGAATGTTGATTCTTCCCAGCCATGAGCATGGTATGTTTTTCTATTTGTTAACATTTTCAGCTATTTCTTTTCTTAGAGTTTCATAGTTCTCTTTAGAGATCTTTCTCTATAGAGATCTTTCACGTCCTTTGTTAGGTAAACTCCCAAATATTTTATCTTCTTTGGCACTACTGTGAACGGAATAGAATCCTTGACTGTTTTTCAGCTTGACTCTTGTTGAAGGCTACAGATTTATGAGTGTTGATTTTTTAACCTGAGACGCTGCTGTATTCCTTGATCACTTGTAAGAGTTTTGTAGTAGAATCCCTGGTGTTTTCCAAATATACAATCATATCATCTGCAAAGAGTGAAAGTTTGATCTCTTCTGACCCTATATGGATACCCTTGATTACCTTTTCTTCCCTAATTGTGATGGCAAGACTTCATTACAATGTTAAAAAGAAGTGGAGACAACGGGCAATGAGCTCATTTTTCTTGAGAAGGGAGTATGTGTGTGTTCTGTACTTGAAAAGATTTTTTCTTTGTATAAATCATTTAATCTAGAGAGACCTTACCTGAACAGTAGCAGCTATGTTAAGTACATGCAGGTTTTATGAATATTTAAGTTTACATAATGGTTCTTTTGGAAATTTGCTATTTTTCCCCCTTTGTTGGCATCTATATTTTTGTAAAAGTACATTTTTTATGGTTGTTATTTATATTTCTCTGGTTTGATAGGAGCTTAAATCATAGGATTGGTAAGAAAACTTGCTGAATTGATTCTTTGCAACTACTGATGTATTTTTCACCTTTAAAAAAATATTGCCAAAATATGAGACTTTGAAAATATGGGTAAGAATTTCAGACAGAGCAACTTTAACAGGGCAACAGTATGGGCTTTCATGGTGTATAAACCTATCTTTTTTATTGTTATAAAAGGCTAGTATGGACGGTGTGGGCAGTGTTGCTTAAAGTGACACATTAAATAAGCAAAAAATGTATGAGTTAAGTAAACTAGAACAGTCCACAGTCTCTACAAATAGGAACTGACTCAGTCAGCTAAGGCTGCAAAATTAGTGAAAGCTGAGTGAGTGCAAAGAGCAGGAGTGGTGTGTCCTGTTCTTCCTTCGGTCTTCAAATTCCCTATGTGGTAGATACTGCTGGCAACTTTGCCCATGTTCTCAGACACTTGACCCAGCTCTCTTACATTTGGGTCTTATCATGGAGGAATCAATTAAATGATTTTTCTGCCATCTCTCTAAAGATAACCACCATTGGTTTCTGAATATCCTCCCCCCAAATATTAACAGTATAGCTGTGCACATTCATGTGTATGTATTCATTACATATACAGTTAACTCTAAGTTGAGAACCAAAGGGACTGTAACAAACTAGTCAAGATAAGGAGCTAGGCCTACTTTACTGATGTGTACAAGTGTGTGTCTGGTCTGTGAAAATTGGGTCAACTTAACAAGGTGGTCAGCTATGGAGGTTCTGTATTTGTATGTGAAAATTTACACAAAAGTATACCATATATAATTGGTAATTTAACATTTCTATGTCATTCTTTCAAAAAGTTTCATAATCTATTGTAATGCTAATGCTCATTGATTTCTAGTCTTTTGGCATTACAAAAAATATACTGTGAAACTTAATATACATACTTAATACATATACTTAGTATACATACATACTTTTTCAGGTATGTCCAAAGTGTAATTCTTTGCAGTGAATATTGATAGGTCAGAGTGTGTGTTGTGTACATTTTAATAAATGTTGCCATTCAAGAAAGGTTGCAGGAATTTATACTCCTATGAGTAGTAAAAGTGTGTTTTTTTCCCTCAATATTGCCATCAAATGTATTTTTGCTAATGTGGTATATCTTGTATTTATTTTTTTTTTAGTCTCAGGTTGAATCTGTTTTCATATGCTTTATGGCTTATTTATATATTTATTTTTTGAGAGAGAGTTTCCTCAAACTCTTGGGCTTAAGTGATTGTCTTGCCTCAGCCTCCGAAGTAGCTGGGGCTGCAGGTGCCTGTTACAATACTTGGCTATTTTTTGGTTGCAGTTGACATTGTTGTTTGGCAGGCCCGAGCTGGATTTGAGTCTGCCAGCTCTGGTGTATGTGCATGATGCCCGAGCCGCTTGAGCTACAGGCGCCGAGCTGCTTTATGGGTTAAATTTCTTTCTAGGCCAGGCATGGTGCCTCACAGTTGTAATCCTAGCAGTTTTGGAGGTCCAACGCAGGAGGATTGCTTGAGGCCAGGAATTTAAGACTGGCACAGGCAACATAGCAAGATCCTGTCTCTATAGTTTAAAAAAAAAAGGCCAGGCATGATGGTACACACCTATAATCCCAGCAACTTAGGAGGCTGAGCTAATGTTACTGTTTTAACCCAGAAATTTTGGTTATGTTGAGCTGTGATCAGGCCACTGCACTCCAGCCTGGGCAACAGAGCGAACCCTGTTTTAAATATAGTACAACTTCCATAGTTGACCCCATCTGTACATTGACCACTTCCTTACGTTGACCTAATTTTTGTAGAGCAGATACCATGTACTCAATGGAAGACCTCTCTATATTGACCACCTCTGTAAGTTGCATCTTGACTACTTGGACTGTGACATACAATATTAATTTACCCTCTGTAACTTGATTAGTTGAGTCCCCTCTACTCCAATGGTGTGAGGGTTATCCCTTAGTTGTATTATTTTTTTCTTTATAGGTTCTTTTTTCATATTTTATTATTGCCATGTCTTGAATTAGGCCTAACATCCTATTGTTTATCATGTGTTGTGGAAGATATATATATATATATATATATATTTTTTTTTTTTTTTTT